AGGGCAGGGGAATGAAGTCATAAATGAGGGGTTTGTTCTTGTGTGTGTTATATATGGTTTTTATTTTGGTAGTTCCTCGAGGTCCTAATAGAGATCAGAACCCTATTGTGTTTAGGGACTGTATGCATACGTGAGAGTCCCTGCCTCAGTGAGTTCACTGCCTACGTAGACAAGATGGACAATATGAATGGGATGGAAAACAAAGGCATAGAGAGGTGAAGTGACTTTTCGCAGATTACTCAGCAGGCTTCTTGACTCCCATTCCAGAGATCTCAGTTAGACCACACACTGCCTCTGATATAAACTTCCCTCATCTAGGGACACCCTATACTATTCACTGAAATAATTTAAATAAAAATAAGCTTTCCACCTGCCTGTGCTTTTGTGAGAGCCAGTTATGACCATCAGAATTGGTGGAGGTGGGGTGAGATGAGGCCTGCTTCATTGTGTACAGGAATGGGACGTGCGTATTTGACAGAATCGCTGCTGGCTCCTTAAATGTATGATCCACCAAAAAGGATGTTCAGATGTTGTAACCAGTACTACAGAGATTGGTCTAGGTAGCACCTCCTGAGAGTTGACAGTTGCTATTAAACCTGGAATTTTAGGGTTCATAATCTAGTTCTGTAAATTGACAAAATGGATTAATTTACATCAAACAATTTAAATCACTGACTTCAATCATGATATAAATCAGCAAGTAAATCACCTATTTTAATCATGTTTTACATTTGTACTTTTTTAGTTCTTTTCCTAAAGGACTGGTTCTCATTAGTTTGTAACTATTAAAACGTGTTGATTTGCAACTAAATATAGCCTTTGCACTGTTTTTGTTACTACTTTTTGCTAAGCAGGAAGAGTTTGTGTGTACACACTTATTTAAGCAGTTAAACTATGTAAGTTACATTTGTTCAGCTTCTTAATCTTTACATTTTTTACTATGCCAGAAAATGGCAAATACATTCTTTATTTACCAGATTAATTTTTTACTTGTGATTTTTTTGTCAAGTTCTACTTGAATGGTAATTTAAATTCAATTAAAATGCACATGTAAACTTTTTACTTTAAATAAAACTACCTAAGTGCTGGATACTTTTTAAAAAAAAATCGAACGTTTTGCATTTAAAGCTAATTGATTTATGAAACACTGAAAATGTTATCTGTAGCTAACTGATTGTCTCTGGTCATCATGTTCTTCAAGATTTTTAGAACTAGTAGAGCTCATCCTCTTACACCTAGTTTTTATTTAGATTGGATGAGGTAAACAAGCTCTCCTGCCTTTTCAGCTCCCAATTGGTTTCTTAACTTTGAATGAACTGAGCTAGTTCAATAAACTGAATTGAAGAGAATGTTCTCTCTGCACCTGCAGAAGAGGCTAAGGCTGTCCAAAAGCTGGTTTAATACTTCTATAAACTCTGGTTCTAGGTGCTTAGCCAGTGACTTCCATCGGTTCAGGGGTTTGCCTTCCTTTAAAACTTGGCAACAAACATGGACTGCTTAAAATTATTTGTTGTATTTAATTTAAATGACTTTACTAGATAAGAAGTTTAGGGCCTTAGTTCATTTGGAAATGTAATTGTAAGTAGGCTTGTTTTTGTTTTTTTAATTAATTTAAATAAAATCTGATTTAAATTTTAAAAATTAAATTTGACTTTTTTTTTAATCCACCCTGTAAATTGCCTTTGGTCCAAATAAGCTTTGCAAAGGTGAAAGCGGTGGCTTATGATGTTTGCTGTGGATGGCTTTGTGGGGAGAGATTGTTGCCATGTTCTGGCTAAAAGATTTTAGAAGCAGCCCGTCTATTTCAGATCCTTATTGTTTGTAATGTTTAATAAAAATGCTTTATACTGATTTGGCTATAAAATATAATGCAGGTAGTGGGGCGAACTACAAACCCATACAATCTAAAGCAGCACTTTCCCCTTGCTTCCCCCCTGACTAGCCAGCGCCCAGAACCATTCTGGAGTAAGTAATAGCTGTGACTTAACAGCTCATTACATGCGGCTGGTGGAGCAGGAGCTGGCTGCCTGCAAAGGCAGAGAAACCTAAACCAAAAGTCAGGAGCGCGAAAGTTCCTTCTGAACTAATTTGCGCAGAAACCGTCCTGTGCCCTGGCTAAAAGGGGCATTCCCCACAACCAGGCTGTTATTTTTTCCTTCAAAAAACACTTACTCTGAAACCTGTTATTCTGCAACAGCCGTGTTAGTCTGTATTAGCAAAAAGAAAAGGAGTATTTGTGGCACCTTAGAGACTAACCAATTCATTTGAGCATAAGCTTTCGTGAGTTACAGCTCACTTCATCGGAGGGGGGAGGTATTTTTTCATGCTTTGTGTGTATAAAAAGATCTTCTACACTTTCCACAGTATGCATCCGATGAAGTGAGCTGTAGCTCATGAAAGCTTATGCTCAGATAAATTGGTTAGTCTCTAAGGTGCCACTTGCAGAATAATGATCCCATGCATATGAGGGGCTTTATTTATGCTCAGTAGGTTATTTCTCAGTCTTTCTGCTTAGTATTGTTGTGTTGGGTTTTGCACTTTGCATTGATAACACAGCCTTTTCTCACAGCAAGGTGTAAATAGCTTGACAGTTTCAAATTACACTGAACTGAAACCCAGGCATACAGGTTGTTAGCCTCGAGGCAAATTTTCTACCCAAAACTGAAACTGGCTTAATAATTTAAAAGCGCTATGAAACTGGCTTCCCTCCCCTCCCTGTTTAAATACATACAACCAATGACGCGCTTGGAGTGAAGGATAGACTAGAGAGGCTATGGAGGGAGCAGAGGTGAATTCAGTTGGGTGATGTGCTAACTGTCATATGGGGCTTTCTGAACCCAAACTCGCTGCCTGGACTCTGAATCTGAGGGCTTTTGTTGGCTGAAATTGGGTGAAATATTGTGGTGTTTTTCAGCTGGCTCCTGACTTGTCATAAGGCTTACCTTGCCCATTCGACTGTCTTCCGAGTTTCTTGTTTTGTTGAAATTGCCATCGCATAAATTACAATAAACACTTGAAGAGATGCCATTTACCTTTTTAAAATGGACTCTCCAGTGTTCCTCTCTCTAAAGAAGTTTTGGTGGGAAGGGGAGATTTGTAGGTGTGGGACTTAAACCAAGAAGAAAGAGGATCTTGCTGTGTTTTGATATCTTGTGGGTTTTCCTTTGTGAATGCAATTTAAATGACCGGAGGAAAAGAGCAATAGTTCTGTTACGTAACATCAGGTACACAAGTTTATCATAAAAATTCAAAGGAAAGTCATCACTGATTGCATTAAACTCGGTCACGTTGGTTTTCAAATTACTCTGATCTTTAAAATGGCACTGGAAGTATCGGCGTGCTCGTCTACAGATAAGTGAGCAAACAGCAGAATGATTATTGCTGTCCTAGAAGGGACATTTCTGTCAGCTGTGGTGTTGAGGGAAGAAATCTTTCTTTTCCTTCTGAGTAGCAGCAGCCTTACATAATGCTGCTCCTTTTTTCAAGCAGAAACTGCCACTTACATTAAGTAGCAGGCCAGTTCAGTGTGTACAGCTATTCTTTTGACACAAGCAGAATCTGCCAAATTTAAACTAAGATCCTTCAGTTTGTTTCCACAGGTGAAAGGCCAAAGCGGAGTGATTGGTTCATTAAACTGAAAGTGAATACTCAGTTTAGTCTTGCAGCTGTTTATCTTTAACTACTGTCGTTATAAAAATGGCCAGTTCACTCAGCAAAACCCAGAAGGTGTTCTCTGTTTCACGGCCCGCTACGGGTTTGATATGCACGCCAGAGAACTCCCCTTTGCCCCACAATATATATAATATAGAGGGAGGAAATATGAATACGGTTGCTAAATGGGAACAAGTGTTATCCAAGTAACCTGCACTCTCTGCTGTACGCAAGGGTGAACAAAACCAAATCATTTGTCTACCAAAACAAAGGCTTTCAGCAGAGCCACTTGCAGTTTAGGTATGCAGTCCAAGCAACTAAAATGTAAGGAAATGCAAAAGCTTTGTGAGGGACCTGGAGGGAAGGGGCTGTATGTAGAGCTGAAGCATTTGCAGTTATTACAAGACACTTACTGGAAAATAAATAATAAAAAGGTGCAAGGTGGGGGATGCATCTTCTTCGAGGACAGAGCAAAACAGTGTGGCAAATCTGGAAAAATAAAGCAAGGACTTGTTAAGTTTATTTTTTAAATAGTTCCAAATTCGACACATTAGAATCCAAAATCAGATTCTCCAATGGATTAACGATACTAAATATCTTGGTTACTTTAAAAAAACCAAAAAGCCTCAGTTTTTGTAGGGCCATGAACAGGGTGCAACGTGAGCTCTTCCTCTTGTTTGTTAATGGATAATGTAAACTCCATTCCCAGAAGCATGCTGACCAGAGAGAGAGAGAGAACAGTGGTGCAGGAACAAGGAAGTAAATAAATGGGAAGGGGTAGGGGACAGGGTGTTAAGTCAATTGGAAGCCCTGACCAGTGGGTTCAGAGTCCTCACTGATGATCTGTGAAGAGAAAATCAGTAGGGAAAGAGACATAGGTGCTTTTGTTCCAAACCATCTTGAAAGGGGTGTTTTTGTTGTTTTTTTAACTCAAGTTAATGATGCCTTACCTGAGGGCATCTTTGCTGATTTCTTTTGCCATGAATGCCGCTGTTGTATTTCTAAAATACGTACTTACCATAATTAAATGGATGGTGTGGAAAAGTTGTTTAAAAAGTCACTTTAGGGTCAATCCCTGCCCTCAGTTGCACCCAGGCATAGATAGAGGTGACCTGAGCAACATTTGGTCCCAAGATATTAAACCTAAAGACCATCATCGGCTTCCATTTTGGTTGAATGCTTAAGCATAGTGTTCTGAAAATGGGCATAGAGGGTGCAGGTTGATTTCATACCCCTTTGATGCTATCAGTGATTAGTTGTGGGTTAATTGGTATAGTGGGGTATGACAGCAGAGGTTGCCTTTTAAATCTGACATGAAATCAATTTGTCCATCTTTCTGTTTCCTGCAGAGCGCAGCTGCAGCCCCAAGTCCAGTACTAGGAAACATTCCTCCTAATGATGGAATGCCAGGCGGTCCCATCCCTCCAGGTTTCTTTCAGGTAGGTTTTGAACTTCCTGATTCTTTTTGGTGGTGTTGGTCCATGTGTCTCCTTGGCTTCTTAATGTCAGCATTGCAGTTTCCAAGAGGATCCCAGAAAATAGTCTCTTGATTAATTTTTTAAATTAAAAATGCCAGAAGTAGCCAATCAATTGTAACGTTCTGCTGCTGTTCCACGTTGCTTTTTGTAAGCACAGCAAATTAGTCTCTCTGATTCTTTTTTTACAATTGATATTTTTCCAAAATGGCTTTTTTTGGGGAGGAAGGGGGGGGGGAGATTTATTCTTCGGTCATAATGGGCTTGTGCATAATTCAAAACATGCTGGATTTTGGTTCTTGGAACCTTTTCCCTCTGGTTAACCACTTGATTTTTTCCAACTGCAATCACTGAACGCATTTAACAAACACTAGCTTAAATTGTAGCCACAGGCAGAAGCAGATTCAATATGGGTCAAAAATCATTGCATGTCAAGGAGACACCTTGTAAGAATTTGCTGTAAGTGTCCTCTCCATTTCCATGGTTCATTTTACTTATGCCCTGATTCAAGACTTGGCAATATAATCTATGCGTGATCCTAATGGGAAGGACTTTAAAGAGCATTTGGAATGGAAGCTTTAAGATTTATTACTTGTAAGATGTTTTTAATTTCTCTGGAACCTTTTTGTATGCCATGTATATGTGCTGATTGCCACAATGTGAAATCTTGGTGCGTTATGATCTTATTTCTTAAGGAATAAGTGCTTGTTCATGTAACAGATGAGCTGGCTGTCGGTGGGCAATATTTGTTCTGACCAGTTGCTATTGTTATCTGGGTTCATGATTTGCCTACAGGAGAAGTTCTTGGGCAATAGACAGCTTTACTTGATAAACTGATCATGATTTGTTGTGGCAGTATTGTGGTTGATGTGCATGCGTGGAGAGATGGGATCTTTTTGTTAAACAATTCCCCATTTCCTGAACACGCTCATGTCAAAATAAGAACATCTGAATATTGATTTGGCCTGTTGCAGGGTTTACCAAAGCGCCTCTGATATTGGAGGAGACAAAGAGAAAAGAGGCGATGCCTTGCAGATTATAGCTGCTGCCAGCAACTTGCGTTCTGTTCCCTGTACATAACAAATGTGTTTCCAGGGTTTTAATTTTCATTCTGCTGAGTGAGAAGTTGGTCCATACCCGTCCCGCCCCAGCCTGCAACCTCACACCTCTGTGGGGTTTCAAATTTCAAAAAAGTTGGAGCAGATCCAGAAGTGACACATTTTATTTAACCAAAGTGGGTGTGGGGTAGGAGTGACAGAGGGAATTTAAGCTTCTTTTTTCCTTCCTCTGGTTTATAATGGCCCACAGCTCTAGTAGCCGTGGTGTCCATTGGTGGGCTACAGGGCTCCCTCCACATGATTCACTTGTCATAAGCAGTGCTTCCCTAAAAGCTGCCTCCCACCCCAAATTCTACCGCACACATTTCCTTCCCTAAATGCCAGCCCCAACTGCCGTCTCCCTCACCCCTGGAAAGGAGGCCACGTTTTAGCAGTGTCTGAACTTTGTACCAAAACCACCGTAATTTTTTTTTTTTCGGTGTTCAGATAGTTTCCACTTTTGGATAAGCTGGAGACTGTAAGCTCTGCCTGCTCCGGCATCTTGCTAGTGGGTTTCTGTGTTGAGCTGTTAGCTGCTTTTTAGTTAGTTTCTTATCTTCGTAGGAGAACAGAACACTGAGTTGGAGAGGGCAATGTCTGAAGGGACACAGGAAATGCAAAGGATTGAAGCAGCTAGGATTTCCCTCCTTGACCCTAATGTGTCAGCCTGGGCAACAGACTGACTAGTCCACTAGTAGATGGAGGCAAGGAATGGGACCAGAATGTAGTAAAGGCATAATGTGGAGTCCGATCACTGAAGACCATTGACTTGGTGTAATATAGGGGGTGCTCTAACTGTGCCCTAATTGTTTTCCAGACTTGACCCACTACGTTGGATTTTGTCTGTTAGTGGTTAGTATGGATTCCAGTAACTTCAGAACAAAAATTCTGTTACAGGGTAGCATTAATCGGCACCTCAGAATCAGATATGACCCCTTCCCCCAGTGAGCTTAACACCAGATACAGGATAATTCAGGAAGGGAAGGTCTGGGGGTTACTGAGGATACCAAAGGAGGAAGGATTGCCTTTCAAAGGTAGTTTTTAGCAGGGTTAGAGGAGGAAGAGGCCTGGCATATGAAGCCAAAGAACTAGTTCCAGCCATCAAGGGAAGCATGGTAGGAGGTGCAAGGCCAAGAATGGGAAAAGGAGAGCAAAGGAGAGAAGGGTCATGGGGGACAATAAGATCAGCCCAGTCTGTCTCTAAGGCCTGTAGAGTTGTCAGTGAAGATTACAGGGGAAAATAAGGTGGTCAGTTTGGGGGGTGATTAGTTTAGAGGTGATCATGGACCTATCCAGAGCCAAAAGCCTGAAGAGTAGGAGAGACTGGAGATAAGGGGGCAGGTTTTGGGTGTATTGGAATAGAGGTGGTGGTTGAAGCCATAGGGTCACTGGGACGGAGTAGATCTGAATATAGCGTGCACAGCTATGCGCTCAACAGGCTCTCACATCGTAATGCTGGGTACGAGGTTCTCTAGGGCTGATGAGGTTTGTAAAAACTCTTTGTGAAGCTATTTACACTATAGCCTGTGGGCTAAATGCGTGGCCGGCAGAGTTCTGAAATCTAGCTATATCCAAGATGATGGTGGCCCTGGGAGACTACTGGTCCCAGCATGCAATGCCACAGCTGCAGGCCACAATTTTGTGTTCGAGTTTGTGGTGGAGAATGCATACAGTCTATTCCATTTTATAAAAATTAGCTGCAACCTTTCATCTTGTGGCAAATGGTAAATGCAGCCTTCAGTTGTGCAAAGCTTGGACCCACTTTGATGGTAAAGCATTGTCATTAGATCCCCGTTGCTGCCGGGCACCTTGCCAGAAATGAAACACTGTATTTAACAAGTGCTGTGTACACATATATGGGTTCAGAATGTTAATGAACTAGTGACAAGAAACTCTGATATGTTGATCATGTGACTGTACTGTGGTCACATGGATGGTTACCTGCTAAAATTCCCTTCTCCTCCTAAGAGTGACCTTTTGTACAAAAACATTTTTTCCCTTCACTCACCGTCAAAAAGATCAGAGAAGCTCTTCCCATTCTAGTTAGAAAGCTAAATTTATGCCTAATGTCAACAGCAGTAGAATAGACCTCTCCTGTTCCTAGTAGTGGACAAAAGGGTTACCGTTCAAGAGCTACCAGCAAAAGTTTAAGGCATTGTTAGTGATGAGTAAATGCCGTGTGTGTGTGTGTACACATGTATGCATATATAATAATCATGAGACGCGCTCTGGTTATATATTTTCTCCAAAGTTTGAACTCTGTATGTAGCTCTGTAACACACTCTGATGAAATGGAAAGTTGAACATAAATCAATGTCGGTTGCTGTGTTAGCTATGCATCAGCAGTTAGTGTGAGAGGTGCACCATAACAAAGCACTAGCTAGTCAGTGTTCCTATACTGCCCCCTAATGCTTAGAGATCTTGGGAGTTGTGAAAGATGGTGGGATTTCTGAGTTCGTTTTTCATTCGCCTCCTTAGCGTTCATTACCCAGTATAAATGCATTTGTTTACTAGCTTGTAAGCCTGTTGGTAAAACAGCAGTGAGACTACTGGAGGAGAAACTGAGGTACTGTATGTAACTCATGATCCCCCTAGGTGAAGCTTTCAGGCTCCCAGGCCTTTTCTGGTATCACATCAGATGTCTCTCATTAATATTTCTAAAGCCTTGATTATTACACTTCCAAGTAGCTCTTATTGAATTGTGTGAGTGCTTCTGTGTTACTTATTTCTCTTGTGCTGGAAAAACTGGAGATCCTTGTCATTTCATTTATTTTCTTCTTGGGTTTCCGGCATAAACGCATCATTCCCGATAGTGTAGTAAAGCTCAGCATATGCCTTAGCTTGCTCATAAACCAGTGGCAGTCTGTTTTCTCTCAAAAAATATGGGGTGGGAACTGATTGGTTTAAAAAAAACCAAAACCTCCTAGTAGTGTAGACACCAGATTGCTGCTTAGCTAGTTAATAGGGATAGACCAAAAGAGGGTGTAAGCCTGACTCTGCAGTTCTAGGCTCCCCGGATCAGAATCGCTGGGCTGCTGCTGCCCCACCAATGCGCCTCACAGGCTACGTGAAGAGTCCTGATCCAGAGCTTGAGGGCCAGAACGTTGCATCTCTCTTGCCACAGTTCCAACTTTCCTCCCCCAGGTAGTCTCGTGCCTTGGGGAAAGGACAGCAGTAGCACAGAGCAGACCTATTTGCACTTATTAAGTACATGTGTAGCCAGCCAACCCCGGCTCTTCCACTGGGCCAGAGAATGAAGCCACCATCAGTCCACCCTGGTAGGGTTAGTGCGCCACTCTTACAGCCCTGTCACTGCTGGTTTTATAGGAGTGGGAGCCTCAGGCCATCAGGAGAGGATGGCTTTAAGAGGATGGCTTCATTGCTGGCAGGGCCGTTCACATATAATATGAATTTAAGGGGAAACGGAAGGGATTTTCCTTACTCTGCTACCATGTCAGGAACCACCATTTTTCACAAGTTAGCCTTGTTACATGGGCTTCTCTACTGGAATGTAAGCAATTTCTGACACCGATTTCTTACCCTCTCACTACTCTGTGGACCCCTCAGAATAACAAAGTGTTGGCAACAGCCACAGAACTTTCCTCTCCTTAACCCACCACCTCTATGAATCTGTCTTTGCTAGACAGCATGAGAAGGGCAAAACATCCTGTCACCTGCTCCCAGGCAAAGTGAATGTCGTGAGACTCCTAGGAAGCAGCAAGAAAATACAAGGGGTGAGGGCTTATCCTATTTTTTCTGCCTGTGGAAAATACTCTCCAATGGGCTTCTCATACCTAGCCCCCAGGAGGGCCCACACAGATCAAATCTCTAATGGTTCCCCATGGGGATATCTCGATTCAAAACTCC